CCGCTTACGCATGGAAATCTGAATAACAATGATTTATGGCAGTAATCATATCGAGAATCGGGTTTAATGAGCTCAAACATCAGAAGAGAAGTCTTAATGAGGTCTTGTTTGAGAAGATCTAATATCCAGAGATAATCCTCGTTTCTTCTGTTACGTATTATTCTAATGCAGTGCTTCTCAACAACACTTGTCTCTTCGTTAGTATTGCATTAGTATTGCATGATTAGTATTGCACATATTTCCTTATAAACGATGATAAATAACGTAAAAACTTCTTGCAGCACTAAGTGTAACTACTCCCAATTTTCAAGTAACACTTCTAGCAAATACTCTGGGAGGTTCATAAGAAGGAAACAAATTTTCGAATACTTTGAAAATTCTATATATAAAAAAAAGAAAAGAAATTTTCTGGAACTGGAATAGCTATTGTTACACATACTGCACAAAATTCTGGTGAGAAAATTCGAGCATTAAAATTGGAAATATTCCCAATTTTTATTATCGAATGCTTCAAATAGTAGCGCAAACTTGGTAGTAGTGAAATTTCTATTCATACTATACCCGAAATATTTGCAGAGCAAATTAAGATTTGAGTGTGATTTAATGAAAGTAACAGTGGGTTTATAATGAGTATTAGATGGCGGAGACAGAAGTTTGGGAAACACTGTGTTAATAGTTTTCCGTTAAAGTACTCGACTGGCAACTTTATCGTATACGTGTCCCTTAAATTTACGACTCGCGCGAAGCATAAACATCCTGCCATTATACGGGGTCCGCTGGAGAATCCCGCTGGCGAGTATTCAGGCATTGTATTCCCTTATCGAGAAGTATCTAATAAACTATCTAATTTCGCACGAACTTGACACTTTTTCTCGCAACGAAATACAGGGCGATTCGCTTTACAGCTCACGCACATACGCACACGAACGCAGTCGTCGGATAATCGCGCAGAGAAACAGGACCTGTGCTGTGATATTTAGGTAATCGATATTTAGGTGACAGATGTTTAGGTGACCGTTCTCTAATTCGTTTTTCCAATTCATATCTGTCCATTATATCCTATCCGCGATTTGTATTGCATAATTACAAATACATTTAAAAACGCGGAGAAAATAAAAATTATTTGTTTATGTCGTGATTATTTCTGAAAATCTTCAAAAGGTTGTATCATTTATTGTAGTAATCCAAAATAGATGATCATTTATTGTCTAAACCTATAAATGGTACAGCGTGTATTCCTAACCTCTACAAATATTCCCTTGAGTAATTTAACGCAAATCGATTTCACTGAGCAAGTTTGAAGCCAAATATCACTGTATCAAGGAGGCAAAAGGAAAGAAACCGAACATAACCTTACCAAAGACTATTACCGGTTCAATATTTAATAAAAAAATACTGAAACTTTTGAAAATTCCTCTCACTAAGTGATCTGAATTACATATTATACAATTTAATTACGTTGCAAGTGGAATAACTAAATTCCTTCCTATTGTTTCGCTCATTTAATCTTCAGAAGGAGACCAGAGAAATTTGTCAGGGATTCTTGCTGAAGAGGTATATCAAAGCGTAAATTGTCAGTGATATTTCTTGACTTTTCCATTTTTGGAGGCTTAGATTGTCAATTCTTGGTGAGAACAATTTCGCTGAACAAGTTTGGCGCCGAAAGCCATTACACCAAGATGGCGGGAAGAAGGAAGATTGCACGATTCTCGTCGATGCTTCGAATCTTGGTTTCACGAACAAATTAACTGTAGGTTCAAACGATAGCACGATGCGTATGCGATTTGTTCCTAGCATTCACAGCACGCCACTCGAAAAGGTCTCGCTGAAATCTGATTGCCTCTCGTACATTAAAATTGCAATCAGCTGATCTCGCGTCAAGGAATACAATACCGAATAGAATCCTTACGAAATCGAATTTCGATAGCTGCGAAGAGTGACTCGATCTGCCTTGCAACCCTTTCTCTGCTTTCTTCGCTATTCATGTGAAATCGTGGCTTTTATCAATTTACGTAAAGCCACATTTCCATGTAAGAAAAATCTTTCCCT